TGGACTATGCCTGCTGCCCATGTGTTGTCAAGTGCAGACCTGTGTGCAGCTCTGGAGATGCTCACGAGCTTGTGGAAGCCCCAGCCAGCAAGAGGTGGCGCGCCCACTGCGTGTGTGGTTTGTTACAGATGGCTGCGCCCCTCTTCGCAGAGTTAGCGGGAGCTCCGCTGAGTCAGAGTTTCAAAAACAATGACGAGCTCAACTGAGCAAGGACCTAGACTCAGAGCAGATGTTTCCAAGTGTTAACAAAACAAAATCTCAGCAGGTTTTAATATAATTCAAACAGTAGTCAGTCAAAGATTTTGGCACACAACGCAGGTTGGTGGCTCTCTTCCCCTCACTTGTTCCAGTAGACCGTAGCCCTGGAATTCACTGAAATGAGCGCATTGTTCTCTGCTGAGACAGAAAGCCCTTCTTGCTATTGAAAGTCCAGTGAGGGGGGAATGTTAGTGTTTAATGGGCACAGAATTTTCAGTTGGGGAAGATAAAACTTCTGGAGGTGGATGGTGTGATGGCTGCACAACAATGCCAACGCCCATAATGCAGAAGCCCTGTCACCTAGAAATGGCCAATTTTACATCTGCTTTGCCACAGTAAAAATAGTGAAAACTGCAGGCATGCAGGTTTTGGGAGTGGGAAAATAGAGTTTTCAGCACTGAACATCAAGAACTGTTCTTTTTTCTCTCTCAAGACCTTTTCTTTCTGGTATACATTTAGGAAGTTCAGAATAGAGAACTGAAAGCAGAACTGGGGACCTAAAAAATAAGAAAAATTCTAAATAATTCAAATGAATAAAGCTTTCATAATTAAATAGTAGCGACAAGATTTTCTAAGAGTGAAAAACAGGGAAGGAATTTAACTTTCCAAACCAACAAAAAGCCACCCAGAGCACACATGTTCACTAAATTAGGTGAACTGGTTTAGGATCTATTTTGATGAAGCAGTTTACCTTGTGAAGATAGTTATCAAGTAAGATCCAGGATATCTGGAAGGGAATAAGTCATATTTGAAAATTGAAAAAGGGTACTCAAGACTGAAAATATCTGTATAATGGATCTGAAACCACATGAAGAGTTGGTGTCACACACTACCCTCATTAAAGAGCTGCAATCGAGTTTAGGATTTATCTTTAGCCCACTGACAGCCCTTCAATCCCTTGTTTGAACTATGAAGGAATGGATTGTTTGATATGCAGCCTATAAACTGCTGTGGTGAATGAGGCTTCTCCAGGCAAAGTGATCATCAAGCCCATGGCATAAGGAACTAGAATACAGCTCCTTTGGGCCTCAAGAAGGAACAGAATTGTGTCCAATTACAAGGTCTACACCGGGGCAGGAGGGAGTGGTATGTTCGCGCCTAGATTAATTAAGACAGGCAATTGACTACCCTACCCTCCTCAGGACCAACAACACTCCAACAAGACAGAGGAGTATAGCACAAATACCTCTGAATGATGCAGCTCTCATCCACAAATTCTAACCTTACGACTCAGGTGTCCATCTAGAGTAGATGCTGGGTAGACGGACAGCACAGAGCTACTCACGTCTTTGAAGGAAAATGACCACTATGAATGGGTTGGTGTGGCTCTTCCACGTATGATTCCTTCAAAAGGTAGAAGGAACTATTTTTATTCTCAAGTTCCTCAAACGCAACTGGATAAAACTCAGAAGACAGACAAGCAGCCCCGGCAGGGAAATGCACTTCTAGAAGCCAAGACTGAAGCACTTCCTTTGCAATTAGAGGCCTAAAGGCCAGAAGTTCTGATTAAAACAAGCAAGAAGGTACTTTTTGAGGGTAGGGAGGGGGAAACTGTGAAGGTGTTCAGGGATGGCATGCAGAGGGAATCAAGGTTCAGGCGTTTACTGTATTCATGTATCTATAGACAATTCTTTATCAAAAAGGTAGGGGGAGGGGCAGTTCATAAGGATACTTACACAGAATAAAGTAAAAGTCAAAGGGATCTATTTCTCAATTTGAATAGTTCTTTAGTCTGACTCAGAGCAGAGACTCTATGACTCTAAATAAAAAAATCACTATGAGAAATTTAGGCAATCTTTTATCTATACCTGAAAATACAAAATTAAAATGTCCTCACAGAATTTTGAAATTCCTAAAAAACACATCTGTAGGCTTTTAGGCATTGTCTGTAGCTCCAAGTCTGAAAAACACTTCTCTAGTCTAAGACTGCAGCTAGTGGTCCTAATCTAAATATTAAAAAATAGCTGCCTAGGGGCCTGGTTCATAAAAAAATTCATATGATAAATTTCTCTTTTTGATAAAGTAGCAATTCCATTTCAGCATTTTAAATGCCTGGCCCATGGTAGGTGCTTATTATAAGTTTATTAAAGGATCCACACACCTATGGTCAAATTAATCTTTGACAAAGAAGGAAAGAAAAAGACAGTCTCTTCAGCAAGGGGTGTTAGGAAAGTTGGACAGCTTCATGTAAATCAATGAAGTTAGGACACACCCTCTCACCATATACAAAAATAAACTCAAGATGGCTTAAAGACATAAATATAAGACATGATACCATAAAACTCTTAGAAGAGAACATAGGCAAAACATTCTCTGATGTAAATCTTACCAATATTTTCTAAGGCCATTCTCCCAAGGCAATAGATATAAAAGCAAAAATTAAAGAAGCCAATTAAACTTGCAAGCTTTTGCAAAGCAAAGGAAAACATAAACAGAAAAAAAAAAAAAGACAACCCATGGACTGGGAGAAAATATTTGCAAACATGACCAACAAGAGCTTAATTTCCAAAATATACAAATAGTTCATACAGTTCAACAACAATAAAAACAAACATCCCAACTGAAAAATGGGCAGAAGACCTAATAGGCATTTCTTCAAAGAAGACATACAGATGACGCATAGGCACATGAAAAGAGGGTCAACTATCATTAATTATTAGAGAAATGCAAATCAAAACCACAGTGAGGTACTACCTCACACCAGTCAGAATGACCATTATTAAAATGTTTACAAATAACAAATGCTATAGAGGATGTGGAGAAAAGGGAACACTCGGACACTGTTGGTGGGAATGTAAGTTAGTACAGCCACTATGGAACAGTACGGAAGTTCCTTAGACAAGTAAAAACAGAGCTACCACGTGATCCAGCAATCCCACTCGTGGGCATATATTCAGACAAAACGATAATTCAAAAAGATACATGCAACCCCTATGTTCATAACAGCACTAGTCACAATAGCCAAGACACGGAAACAACCTAAAGTGTCTGTCAACAAATGAATAAAGCAGATGTGGCACATATATACAGTGGAATACTACTCTGCCATAAAAAATAAAACCCGGCCATATGCAGCAGTGTAGATGGGATGATCATACTAAGTGAAATAAGTCAGAAAAAAAAGGCAAATACCATATGATATCGCTTACATGTGGAATGCACCACATGACACAAATGAATTTTACGAAACAGAACTGGATACACAGACAGAGAGACGTGATCTGAGGTTGCCAAGGGGGCAAGTAGGGGAGGCTGGAGTGTGAGTTTGGGATTAGCAGATGCAAACGATTATATACAGAATGGGTAACAAAGTCCTACTGCAAAACACAGGCAACTATTAATATATTCAATGCCCTACGGTAAGCCATAATGAAAAAGAATGTGTAAAAAGAGAGTGCAGATGAATAACAGAATCACCTTACTGTACAGCAGAAGTTAGGGCAACATGTAAATCTACTATATTTCAATACAAAATTTTAAAAATTTATTAAAGGAATAAACTAATGAGTCCATACTGATGCATTTCACTCTAAGACATTTGATAGGCTGTGTGCGTGAGTGCTGAAGTTTTTTCCCGCTGCTCCTCCTTTGTCTTTGACCTGGGAAGAAGTGGTCAGACCAACAGTTCAAACCAATTACCAGCAGATTAAAGCCCGTGATGAAGAGTGGCCAGAGGCAGAGGGTGCACACATCAGAGGCATGTCATCTCCTCTGTGAACAGACACAAACTAGGGGAACCCTTCAGAAAGACTCGATAGCTAATACTGAAGGTAACTGATAATGAAATGACAACTTCCAACCCCGTTTTCAGGAGAAACAGGAGATGGAACGCAATCTACAAATGAAAATTTTGAACTAAATAAACCAATTCTTAATTACAGATAAAACATTAAGAAACCCAGAGGATGGACAGGTGTCCCCTAAGGATGTGAACCAATTTGTGAGATGCTGGCCAGCATGGCTCATAGATGAACTCAGATCTTTTTATCACTGGTGGCTCCCTTTTATTTTCCTGGGGAACTGTGCCTGTGTTAAAAAAAAAAAAAACAAAAAAAAACTCTCGCTACTTGATTTTCCAGTGTGTGTGTTAACTTGAAACACACTTATATTCAAGACTATTAAAGAGTTCAAGTTAAAGCAAAAACTGTTAGGAATCCACCTATCTATCCAGTACCAGAATTTTGGATTAATTTCTAGAAGATGAATTATATTTCTCTAAGGCCTACTTCTTCAATTGATTAAAATTAAACAACATCAGAAACTAACCCTTACTATTTTGTGAATGAGAACATAAGGCTACCCAAACAAAAGGCTGAATGTCCTAGTCTGTATCCAAACTCCAGAGTTGAACATATGCTTCGCTATGAGACTGGGAAATAAATGTGAGGCTAACTTTCCCCAATATTCTAATATTACTTCAGCTGTTAAAGGCCTCAGAGAAGGGGCTAGGTAGATGTTTTTAGGCCCTGGAACTGTGCTTCCAGTGAGGCTTGGATCCATGCATGTTCTATATAAACTCTTTGGCTCTTGATACACACACAGTACAGTAATTTAAAAGGAGGGAAGAGAACAGAATAATGGAAGTTAGTTAAGAATGCACATTCACTTATTGTAATTTTCCTGCAACCAATAAAACAGGACCTTCAAATTATTTCTTTGTTCATTTTTCAATAAATATTACGGGTGTGTAACTACAAAGGGGTGAGGGTGGGGGAGGAAATGGAAGGAGAGAAGACACTCACCTAGTTCGGGTGCTTTGCTTAGCACAAATGCATAAGCCCAGAATTTGCTGACAGGTCCATTGTAAAAACCCTGGTCACAAATTGAATGCTTCAGGCCTTTGGTCATCACAGTGTACACCATATAAGCACCAGTTCGAAGAGCACCGAATATACTTCATAATGAAAAGAGAAAAGAAACAATATTCAGGAAAATAATTTCATGTCTGACATTAACCATTAGTAGAAGACTGCCATTGGCAGGAATAGGCAGAACTGCATCACAATCATTTGCATTTACCCAGAAGCATTTAAAAATGTTTTGTTAACAAAAGCAAGAAAACTACTCAGAGCTGTATTCTGAAGGCCATGCCATTTACTCTTCATCCATGTTCCAAAAAGAGGTCATGGAAAAGGGGACTAGATCCAGGGCAGGACCTCAAGAGCTCTAATTACCTTAGTGTTTCAACTTGAGAACTATCCCTTGGGGATGAGAGGGAACTGGCTGAAAACTTTCGGAATTCTCTCAGTTCTGTCCTTTGTCCAATCATTCGCCAAACCCCCTGCCTCTGTTCCCTTGAATCTCTCTAATCCAATTTTTCCTCACAGAAGCCAGAGGAAGAAGGCTTAGCTTTATCAACCCTGCAGCCCACCCAGGCTCACTCCCTTGAGCTCCCAGAACTAGGCCCTGACACTGTGTCGCCACTGTTCAGCGTCCGGTAACGGATTTGCCTCTGCATAGCCAGAGGTGCTCCAAGTGCCGAAAACGTGAGATCGTTGGTTGAGAAGTAAACTCACGTAGGGACTTGTTATCACGGAACTGCCAAAGAAACAGGAGAGCTCTGGAGTGTGTTGCGCTTACAGTAACGTAAGCAAAGAGTGAAAGGACTTGTCAACTGGAACACACAGCCTTCATCATGGTGTGAGTCCCGTAGACATGTGTCCCAGATTTCACAAGCCACGTGCATGAGTGAAAGGAGAGCTGACTGATCACGGGAGACGTGTTTGCCCATCTTTTTTTCTGGTGGCATTCCCTTTTAGTTCTAAAGTCAGTTAGCATAGAAAGCAAACTTATGGTTACCAAAGGGGAAAGGGGGTTGGGGGAGGGATAAATTAGGAGTTTGGGATTAGCTGACACACACACTACTATGTAAAAAATAGATAAACAACAAGGTCCTACCGTATAGCACAGGAAACTACACTCAGTATCTTATAATAAACCATAGTGGAAAATAAGAAAAAGAACTACACATACACACATATACATATACATGTATGTATAACTGAATCACTTCAGCATTTAAGTGACATTTAATGACACTTCAGTGTCGCTTGACTAAGTCATTCCACTCAGCTACCCCATCCACTAGCGAGAACTAAAGGCCAGCTTTGCATAGAATAGAGGTTATGAAGTTGAATTCTTGGCAACTGCCTATTAATTAAGTGAGGACTCTATAAGCAGCTTCTCTAATAATATACGGCCTACCATGCGAAGAGTTGACTCATTGGAAAAGACCCTGATGCTGGGAGGGATTGGGGGCAGGAGGAGAAGGGGACGACAGAGGATGAGATGGCTGGATGGCATCACCGACTCGATGGACACGAGTTTGGGTAAACTCCGGGAGTTGGTGATGGACAGGGAGGCCTGGCGTGCTGTGATTCATGGGGTCGCAAAGAGTCGGACACGACTGACTGAACTGAACTGAACCTTAAACAAAGTTACTCTTTCCAACATATAATACCATTCTGCACAGGATTATTGGTATGATTTTACAGTTGCAGATCCCTGTTTAATCCTTCAGCATTTTCCTGCTGAACACAGAATGTAACCCCCAACTCCCTAACAGAAACCGCACGGCTCTGGATAGCCCCTCCTTCCTCACCCCTGCATCCTGCCACGCTCTTCCTGCTACTGGGAGCCAGTCGCTCCACCACGTTCTGATCCGTCCAGTTTCCTGCCTTAGCACCTGCGCATATGATATTTCCTCTTCTTGGGGAGCTTTTTCCCTGTGTTTCCTTGAAGGCTGCTCTTCTCACTCTCTTATCTCAAAGAAATGTCCCCTCCTGGTGGAATGACCTAAAAGCCTTTAGAGTCAATAAACTTGTCCCGATTTGAGAATGGGGAGTTGGATTTCACTGGCACTGTCAAATAAAGGAGAATTTTCTGTCTTATCCTGAATTGATTTTTCATGTTTTGTCTTCATTCCACCAGACAATGGCTAAATTTCATATGAAAAGTTGCCACCATCACCAAATTACTGGCAAATTGGGGACTGATTTGCTGCTGTGGAAGGGACTACACAAAAATGCATATGGCACTGCCGCTGAGCATACAGACAGACGTTCTGGTTGTCTATTCGGGGGCCAAGTCCCTTCCTCCTTCTCCATGTGAAAAGAACCCTGATTTTGTCCAGGTTCTCCTAAATCACGCTTGCCTCCAGGAAGGTGGTCTTATCTTCAGTTTAGGAGTAAATCCTAATTACCTAAGCAAGTTTTAGTAATCCTATTTCCCTTTCTCACAATGACTTGTTAGGATGGACAATGACTCGGTTCTAATCAATATGAAGTGAGGAGAGAGCTGCTGGGGGCCTTCTGGGGAAAGTTTTCCTTGTTCATTACCACATACTACTTGAAGAGCAGCAGACAGTTTACCACCAGGAGGGAGCTCCCTTGAGGATAACGTTCGGTCAGAGAGGACTGCAAAGTATTCCTCCAAGGTGAGACTGACCTGCTGAGTGCACCAGTCTTTCAGTGACTTTACCACAAGACTTCTCGGTTTAGGGATAGAGCTTCCTTACTGTATAAGCCACTTGGAGTTTTGCTTTTTATTTAGACCCCAGAGCATCCTACTTTCAGGAAACTTCTAAACACTGGTTAAACTTTTGTGGCTATCAAATATGTCTTGGTCACAGATACTGCTGGTAAACTACCCACTGTATCAGTTAACTGGCTTTCATAGACAGATACATCAGTGGGGGATACATCAGTGATTTCTACACCAGCTGAAAGCAAAGAAACACACACATGACCCACTTTCAAGATGTATCAATCCCTGCTCCTGAGGCCCCAGATCTGTGACTTTTCTGAACAATCGACATGTTGTAGAGACCGTGTCTTTCCCTCTGAGCCCAGCCCAGGACACCCAGGAAGCAGAGCCCTTCCTCCACCACATTTTGCTGCTACACTATGTGCTTCAAACGTGATCATAGTAGATCCAAGGAAAGGAGTTTTGGAATAATGACTTTGTCATCTTCCTGAGTTTCAAAACTCACTGTAGTTTAACTATACCCCATATTCTAAGCATTGGCACACCTATTAATTCTTTCATTTGTTAAATACCCACTGGCAATGTTCTAGGTGCTAGGGTGACAAGAATCGGTACACTAACTCTGGCTGCTGCTAGTAGTCCTGGAAGAGGAGGTGGCATTTGAGTTAGGGTTAAATAGGTATCCAGGCTCTGAGGGGAGGGCACAAAGGGGAGGTCATTTCAGAGCACTGCAGAATTGCAAGTTTAGGTCTCACAGTGACCCACAATATTACTGGCAACAAGTCTATAGCTCATCTTATTGTCCCATATCTGGACAAGCGCCTCACCCCCTAAGCTCTGAACAATAAGGCTGACTCAAAACAGAGGACAGTGCATTTTTCAGGGAAACCCTCAGTGCCAGCCGTCGGGCGCATGTGTCTGAGGGCAAAGGCGCTTTGTTGTGATGTGACAATGCCACTGCTGGGGAGCCGTCAGGGAGCTGCTTGGCCAAAGGGGTGATTGTTATTTGTGGGAAACCAGTACCTCTGCCCCGGGCATATCTCAGCCACCGTATGCTTTGGAACCAGGCAGCCTTCTGTTCTAACTGGGCACAGGGTTCTTAGACTGGCAGACTTCGCCAACACATACTTTAAGGGAGGAGGCTCTTTCCCCTCCATAATTTACATCATCTTGATGTGACGCAAGAGACAAATATACAGCTTATGTCTGGCTATTCCCAGTCCATACTCATACTCATGGCAGACAGTACTCACCAATCTTGACACGCTTTCCAGGCCACACGCCTGGACCACTGTGAGCCAATACCCATAGATTTGAGCTGCAAATTCCAATCACAGTGCTCTCATTAGTTTCACGACTGGATAAATTACTTAACCTCTCTCAGTCTTCATTCATCTGAATTAATACCTAATTTGTAAATTAGTTCTAAAAATTTTATGGGACAATATAAGTAAGGTATTTAGGTAGCACACAGCCTCTCGTATGTAGGTGCTGAATAAATATTATACCATTATTATTTTATTACTATTTATTGTTATCATTGCTGCCTTACTTCGTCTGGGCTTCAGTGTTGAAAATCACTTTTAACTTTCCCCAGTTAAGGCTAAATGTCCTTAATTGAAATTACCCTAAATGAAAGTCAAGGAAATTGATAAATGGAAAATTTGATTGGCACTGATGATTATTCATGTTATTACATGTTTCATTTTTAAGCATTATGAGCATTTTCCAACAGGAAGAAGAGATTGTTGGTATCGAAAAACTCCTGGTTCATGCGAAATTTATCTTTTGATCAGATGATAAAGATTCTAAATCTAGGGCTTCAAAGAGGCTAAAAGTATGTGCCGTTGTATTTAATGGGGGCAGGTGACTACACATACATCATCACACCCTTTTCCCAGCTGTAAAGTCACACCAGCATCCTTTTTTTTTTTAAAAGAAATACATCATTTTTCTTGTCCAAGTCTAGTTTTGATTATAAAAATTAATGGAAGAGGGGAGAGCTCAGTGGAGGGTTCCTGTCCTGCTTCAGCTACTGGGTCCTATTAGACACAATGCAGGAAGGAGATTGGGAAGAAACCACAGCCCTGATTAACTAAGGTGCTTCTTCTCAATCAGATGTTCTAGACTTCTGGCCCAGAAGAAGCCTGTTTCACCATCATTACCATTTGCCACAGCATGTAATCAAAGAGGTGCCAAGAATGCCCACTGGACTCCTACTGTGTCACCCGGGGATGGAGATGGGAACCTTCTATTTTGTACTGTACACATATTTCTGCATTGCCTGACCACTGGGAAGGAAGCTGGTATGAGACGGACAATTTAAAAAATACATTTTAAAATAGGCACCTACTGACAAAACTGATATGCTGAATAATCACAATGGTACTAGCTTGCAACTTCTTAGTA